AAAACAAAAACAAAAACGAAACCACATCCGGTACATTATGCAATTCTAACTTTGAAGCATAAACATGTATAGTCAAAATACTTTAAACCACTACCAAAATTAAGATATGAAAACAGATGAATTTGTTCATTCCTCATTCAAGAATAAACACAAAAAGGGTCTTTCATCTTAACAGCCAAATTCCGGATAAGTGCAGTGCCATCACTCCGACTTTCTCCTAAAAGAACAACCCTCAGTGAGTCTAGCCCTACCACCAGTAGGCTGGCATAGAACCGTCTGGCAGTTACCGCACACCACAACAGTTTGCGAGTGACTAAAAACGGTGGTTCTGTTGCACAAACAAAAGACACAAAAATAAGCCAATTTGAAAAGCTTATATTCAACAATCATCATGATAAAAACCTATGTTTACTTACATGTTGAAACATCCCTGACATTTGACATCCTTCACAAGGAGCAAAACAATAACAATAGTCAGTACAATGCATTGCAGGAACAAAACAAATGTCGCATAAAAGATGAAGATGTATGACAACTTTTTAGATATATCTCCTGCATAAACAAAGCAAATAATAGAATTTGATTGGGGCAAAACCCCCAACTCCACCCCTCAAATAAGGGAGTTGGGACATATCTGCTCCTCAGAAAAATAAATTGATCCTTTAAATCAATACAAATCAACCATTTTTTAACGTGTAACGTCAGAATTTTGTTTGGCACATAAGCATTTTCTTAATGGAAAACTAAAAAATAAGTGATTTGTCTTGATCTATGATTTAGAGAGGTAATTTGTCCGTGGGGCAGATCTGTCTCCACCCCTATTTGAGGGGAGGAGTGGATTTGAGAGTTATGCCATTTGACTGCCGAGCAAGTATTTACTATTTAAAAGATCTGAAAAAGACAGTGCAAAAACACGGGTGCAGGGCACCGAAGAGAAAGGGATATATATATATAACATCATATATTATAAACAAAAAAATGCTGTATATATTTACTTACCATGAAAAAAGAATTAGGAGATTGAACAAGGCGCTTGAGTTTATGCTTCTTCTTCTCAAGCTCAGCAGGAGGATTCAACAGATCAATATCGTTTTGGAGAACCTAAAACAAGATTTCAAGAGCAAAATTAGGATGATAATGGATTATCAACCAAACTTTTCACTTATAAATAAATACATGCTCTCTTTTACTGATCTATTATAAATAAATTCATTTATTACAGTTTATTTTATTTTAGTAGATAAATGTTAGCAAAAAGAAAATTGTTTTTACCAACAAGATTAAATTAAAAATAATAATTCAATTTCCTATTTACAGAAAAGAAGCAACAAAATCATATACTAACTAGGGAACAGACAAACATGAGGTTAATTAGTCTCAAAATTTAGTTATGGATTTCATTTTCTTAGCAACCAAACAGCAGTAGTAATGGCTCGGAAATAATAATCAGAACGGCTTAACCTAGATCAACAACCAAAATAATAATCATAAAGAATAGCTTGCTTCTACAACCAACCATTACTTGCTTCCAGGCATGGATTAAATTAAATTAAATTAAATTAAATAAATCTAAGAGTGAAATCAACGGAGAAATGAAAAATCAAGAAAATTAAATTAGAGAGACAAGTGCAGAACGTACCATATTGTAGCGACTGCAAGAAGCGACTTTTATTTATTTGGAACGGAAAGTGCTTCCTTGCTTCAGGGGGGAGCGAGAGAGGAGGTTGAAGAAGGGTGAATGCAATGCTTATATAGTGGGGGGCGAAATAGGGTTGCCCTAGAATAATAGTGGTGGACTTCTGTTTCTTTCTTTTTTATTTTGGATGCCGGCCCGGATTTTAAGAGGAGTGTGTAGTTCAGTTCAGGCCCATATTTTTTTGATCGGGTTTCCGCTTCTCTCTGAGGTTCGTATAGTTAACATTCAACCAAGTCTAGGCCTGAAGGCCCAAAAAAAAATGTAACAAGGCCTAGGCCCAACATATTTTTAGACAAAAATTAGTAAAAAAAAAAAATGGAGAGGAATAATTAATGATAATTTTGTTTGAATATGAATAAGCAAAGTAAGGAAAAGAGGAGGATAATATATTTTTGGAAAAGTAGGTATCAACTTGTATTATAAAAAATTAAGTTAAAAAATATCTATAAATTATATCGTTTTAATAAAATCTCATTAAAAAAATTAAAATATCTTCATTTTTAAAGTGAAAATAAAACTGTTTGTCTATTTTCATGCTATTTTATTAAAACTACATAATTTTAAAATATTTTTTCACTTAATTTTTTTTCCTATACAAGTTAATATCCATTATATTTTAAAAAATAAAATAGTATTTTTTTAATTTAACTAATTAAATAAATAATAAAAAATATTTACATATTTTTTAAAATAATAATAATAATAAACAAATAAATAAAAAGGAATACTGATACTCATTCCAATGCAATCTCCCAACTTTGGGGATGGAAAGGAAAAGAGGGGAGTGGTGAGGAGTGAGGACTCCCCACATCCCGTCACTTCCCTTTATAAAATAAAAGAAATCCAAATAAAAGGAAGGAATGACATTCCATCCCTCTTCTGTCCCCTTCCATTTATTTTTATCAAACAAAATATATATTATTCACTCCATTCAAAGAAAGGTAGAAGAAAGAATAAAGCTTTTCCGCCTTTTTATTTTATATTATTATATATTGTGACAAAGAAAGATTGAGAGGCTTCCTCGTCATCAAAATGAAGTGTGTGATGCGGAGTCCAACAAACAAGACAAGCATAAACAAAAACAAGTATAAAAATGTCCATCCAATCTCCATTCTTAGTTTACAACAAATTATGATTGATGAATACCAATCAGCCTGACAGTATAATTCCTTTCCTTGACAAGGATACAACAAGAATGATGGACAAAATTTTGCCCTGTCAATAATCCCTGTGCTAGTATATAATCTACTCAGTGAGTGTCATTCACTAATTTTATTCTCTTATCTAATTACCATCCCCACCTCCCCCCTCAACCTCCTCCTCCTCCTCATCCCAGATCCAGAGTCTTCTTCATTTTCTCATACACCATATATGTGATACTTGCAGAAGGGACAACTTTAAGCAGATTGGGAAACAATCCTTTGTAGAAACCCCTTAACCCTTCGTGTTTAAATGTAATCCTAAATACATCAGACATTCCTCTGTAAGCAGATTCCTCGTTACCGCGTTGAGCTTGCATCCTGAAATGCAACAACCTCAATTAGCCTTCAACCTATTAATGCCCAAAATGATTCATTCATTATAGTTTACATAAAAAACACAAGCCCACAATCACCTTGTTCGAACAACCTGCAATGGGTACACACATGTTGCTCCAAGAGCTCCTGATATTGTCCCACATCCCAGTTGCACTAGTGGACCAGGTTCTACAACCAAATTCAACTTACATGTGTAAATACAAGAACACATGGTAACATTGAAGCTAAGGTAACAAACATCATAAGGTAGGCAAGGCTTATATGAAAAAACAAACGAAATGTTCAAGACCCCAATCACAGAAGTAATGCACAAGTTAAATTTGCTGAGAAAAGGAAAACCTTACCACTGTCAATAAGTATGTATTTCTTGGACATATCTTTCAATGTTTCATAAGCAGCAAGATCAATGCCTGCATAAGGGATCATCCCAAGAAGAGATGGAACAAGGCCCCTGTAGAATGCCCGGGGTCCCTCTTGAACCCATATGTCTCTTGACATTGCTCTAGGACCAGGAATTTTCCCACTTTCAGAAGAATAAGTTTGCAATCGAGTTTTAACAAGTTCCATTGGGTATATTGCTGCCTGCGCCACAGCACCAGCTAAGCCACCAGCAAATAGACGTCCCATGGCTCCGATTTCCACCTTATTATCTCCTCCTTTAGCTTTCACTATAAATCCCTTTAGCATTTCATAAGTGTAGAACCGGATGGCACTTTCAGGTGCAACTTTCAGGACATTCAATCCATTGCCTCGAAAAAATCCAAGAATACCTCCTTCCCTCCATATATCCCTTATTGCTGGGATGACATATGCCCGTGTAGTCTGCACTTGTAAAAGAACCTTTAAACGATCAAGAGGTGCGGTAGCTGTACGAGACGCTGCTCCAGCTATTCCCCCAGCAATCAGGTATCTGCTTGGATGAACGTGTTTGGTGATGCCCTGTGGGATAACAGACTGTTCTCCAATATCAACATGGCACATCCTTTCCAAGTAATGATAAATGTTTTCCATAGTAGCTTCATGAGGGTAGAGCAGCAGGAAGTCCCTCCATTCTTCAAATGTTATAACCCCATTGTTATCCTTATCCACACGTTCAATAAAAAGGGCTAGCTCCTCGTCGTCAATTTCAATCCCTACAAAGGAGAGACTGGTGTGGCTTATAGAATGAAAACAATGTAAATATATATGAAATGAAAGAAGCCATTTTTTTTTCCTGGGAAACAAACAAATATCATATTTTATGCTTCTGATATTGATTCTATAACCAAACGCAATGCACATTCGATGGGAGTATACATAATAAAAGCAACAAGGCACATAAATTGAACAATTGATATTAATTAGAGGAGATATCGCACTGCAAGTGTTGGAACTAGGAATGGTTGATAAAGTTTTTTATTTTACCTGCATTGATGAGTGCATCATAAAGCTCCTCTGGCAATATGGAACCATTGTGTTTAACATCAATGGCTTGAAAAATAAGGTAAAGCTCAAGTTCCTTGTCATCCATATAACGCCTGAATTCCTGGTAATCCACGCGACCATCCTGGTTTGCATCACAAGCATTGAGCAAATCCTTGGCATACTTGTATTCAGGGGGAATATGACGAGCGGAGAGACCGGCCTCAATCTGGGCATAGTCCAAATACCCAACATTGGCAGCATCAAAGAAATTAAAGAGATTGCGCATTCTCTGCTCCCTCACCTCCTTGGTCTCTCTGAGAGCCAGTAGAACATGTTCCAGGGTCACAGTATGATTGCCACCGTTTGATTGCTGTGGCTTCCCCTTTTTCGGCTCCGCCACCATTTTGGTTTTGGAACAAAAACAGCATAACCCTCTCCCCCTACCCTAACTGGTTATCTCTTTGTCTTTTTTCTTAAAAAAAGCAAAAAAAATCCCAATTTTTTGTTTTTTGAGTTGAGAAAGTTGGGCGGAATCAGTTCCTCAAACTTGGGGATAAATTGAAACCAAAATTGAACAATGGATAAAAATACAGAAAAAAAATTTCAGAATTGAAGCAATAAGATGTTCAACATCCTGAGTGATGGAATCAGTAGTATGAATGGCAACAAAAAAAGAAAGGAAATTGCAGAGCTGAATTGAAAAACAGAAGATGTATAAATATAAATACATGTGTCAAAAAGGAAGAATAAATTGTTTTACCATCATGGACACAAAATTAATTAAAAGAGAGGAGGAGATCCAGGGCTGAAAAGAGTGGTGACGGAGGAGAAGGATCGGCGGAGAAAAGAAGATGCCACTGCCCATCAAACAAGAAAATCAAAATTCCTACGGAGAAGGGCCAAGGGCCAGACATTTTTGTGTTGCCCCAAAAGCGTAAAAATTAAAATTAAAATTACACTCACCACTTTCGGTTTCTTTCTTTTATTACTTATTTTTATTTTTAGGTTAAAACCCCTTTTTGGTCCCTGAACTATTATATGGATCTCTGATTTGGTCTCTAAACTAAAAAAATTCCTGATTTGGTCCCTACTGTTTACCATTTTTACCTCGATTTGGTCCTTCCGTTAAAAATCTAGTGACGTGTGCTGTTAACTAACGAGAACACGATGACATGTCATCTAATAATCCACGTGGAAGATAATATAATCAAAAAGTGATGATGTGGAAAAAATAATAATATAAAAAAATATTATGAAAAATAAAATTTAAATTTTTTTTTCTTTTTTCTTTTTCTTTCTCCTTCTCCTTTCCCTTTCCCTTTCTCCTTCCCCTTTCCCTTTTCTTTCCCCTCGGAACCCAGCAGGCCTGGGTTCCTTCGAACCCACCCAGGCACTGGGTTCGCAAGGAACCCAACACGCTTGCCCGGGTTGGGTTCCAAGGAACCCAGGGGTTACGCCTAGGTTCCAACCCACGCCGGAACCCAGGCGCTGGGTTCCCAGGCGAACCCACGCCTGGGTTCCGCCTGGGTTCGCTTGGGAACCCAGGCGTGGGTTCCTTGGAACCCAGGCACAGGGTTCGAAGGAACCCAAGCGCTGGGTTCCCTCGAACCCAGGGGTAAAAAATATATTTTTTTTTCTGTGGTTTTGGTGTTTGATGATGATGAAGAAAGCAAGGCAAGGAAGAGGAAGGAAAAAAAAAGGGCATTGTTGGATTCGATTCAACCCAGGTGCTGGTTTTGTTTGGTGCTGGGTTTGTTTGTTGGAGGAAGAAGATGATGGCAAATTCGTAATTTTGGTGGGTCCCACTTTTGTTGGGTTGGACAAGGAGATGACATATCACGTTGCCATGTCATTATTTATTCATTTATACAACTGACGTGTCTCAAAGTTTGACATGTCACTAAATTGTCTGAGATAACGGTGAGATTTTAACAGAAGGACCAAATCGGGGTAAAAATGGTAAACAGTAGGGATCAAATCAGGGATTTTTTTAGTTTGAGGACCAAATCAAGGATCCGTATAATAATTCAAGGATCAAAAAGGGGTTTTAACCTTATTTTTATTCTTTTTTTAAGGACATTGTTGCGTGACTTTTGTTCGGAATCGCAATCCAAGTCCATCCCCACACCTTTCCCCACGCTCCCACCGTAATACTAGTATGCTTTGGAATTAGTGCCCATAAATAAATTGGACCCGACCATATCATTGCCTTTCTATTTTGTGCCATGAAACAGGCCATATCCAATGTCTCTCATTCCATTGCTTATTTTCA